ATTAAAGAAATTTCTAGATCATGTCTTAATTTGAAATATCTTGACCTAAAGGGATGTTATAGTATTAGTAAAGAAGCTGTAGATCAGCTCATTTCTCTTAATTCAAATATCTATGTCGAGAATTTCGTGGGTACTATAACAACTCCTGATCTGATTGGAGTAGTTATAAATCATCTTATACAGAATAACATTGCTAGTAGACAGATTTTAGCTCAGAGTCTTCAGAACCTTTTAGATCTAAGTATGCGAGATAATCAGAATTCAGTTCTATCCCCAGCAATCTGATTGGTGCCATTGTTAGGCTGTTAAAAGATCGTGTTAGTGTAGATAGTTCTCTGTCTAGCAAGAGGCTAAGATCAAAAAATAATATGTATCACAGTTACATCCTGAACCTTTGTATTTATTTTGCATGTATTTAATAAAAAATTTTTCTTGGCGAAAGTGGTCTGCGTCCCAAATTGGAACGGATACGTGATCTTTTATACCTTTGAGAAATCATGATGGCACATATCACTTGATTTTTGATCATGCTACGAAATTAATCACATGTCAAAGAGCAAATTTCTTTGGATGTGAGGCTGAGCAGAATATTATGAAAAAACAAAATATAAAGGTAAGAAGTATTTGTTTTTTTATTTCTGCCAATTTTTTGCAATAGTTCTAAAATATTAATATCTTGGGATATTTGAGCGGGAATTGGCTAATCTCCTCACTAATAAGGCTTTCAACAACAGATATAGGAAATGAAATATTTGTGTTAATTATAGAATCATATTAGTTAAGTTTTGGTGCATGAATATTATACTGCACTGCAAATTTTTTAATTACAATACAGTATATGAAATATTGCTTGAAAGAGATTTATACAACCAAATTCGAATCAATATTTATATTATGACATAACAGAATAAATGCAATATTTTAATACAAGAAAATAGAAACATAAACTCATGCAGAACCCCTACCACGGTCTCTACTGCGACCTCTCCCCCTACTATTCACATTCTTTCCTTCTCCTCTCGATATTTTTGGCAGAAATTCTGCAAACGTCACAGCATTTTGCGTCCTGGTGTGAATCCAGTTGCATACTTGGGCTTGAACATCGTTATGTTTTCTTGTCCTTCCTTTCTAAACTCTATAAACCTTTTGATCTTTTCAACAAGATTGTATTGTAAGCATAAAAGTGTTCTAATAAGTCTAGGTACATGATTTAGATCAGTATTGGAAGTTGGGATCGTAAGAACTGGGATTGTAAATGGTGCAAAAAGATATAAACCAGGACCAATAAATATTAATTGGCCAATTTCAATTTTATCAGCTACAAACAAAAACAAGAATATATTAGATCAAAATCACCTGCAGGTTCAAAATTATTAAAAAAAATTACCAAATGCTTGGGCTAAAAAAATCCCAGTGTTTTGCATACTTTCCATTTTGGTAACTCGGTACTTAACATAAATTTATTAAGGCCAAAGACACCCTCGCTCAGTAATTTATGCCTATCATCATTAATCTTATCTGGATCTGGATTATTAAGCCCTTCCGACACTTCAAGCAAAAACAATGGAATTTGCTTGAGTCGTTTGAAAAGCTCTAATACTCCATCGGCTTTATAGCCGTTATCTTGAATATCGATTTTTATAGATATGTCTCTTTCACATGAAAAATACTGCGACGAGTCAATAAAACAAAAAGTGATAGAAAAAATGTATGCTAATACATGGGCTGTCTATGTCCGCTCAGGAGTCTTATTCATGGCACCATTCATTTTTGTGATGATGTCAAAATGGTTGGAGATATTCTTGACAATAAATAAATCAGGCATTTTGGATTGTTCATAATCCGTCGGAATAGGAAAGAAGTTGGATAAATAGTAATATTTTTCGGGTACACTGCTCAATTGATGTACTATTTTCTCCACTTCATTGTTTTCTTCTATAGTCTCGTTATTACTTTTGTTCACAAGATAACTATCAACTGCTTCGTCTCCCTTTGATTGAGCAGGTACAATATAATCAAAAAATGCTAAATACTCATGTGTCTTTTCACTTATGAATTTTTCTTCATCTTCCAATATTAACCTTTCATATAACGAATCCAATTCACCCTCATTTAAAAGTCTATATACCTGTTTCCATGTATCTTCATCTCCTAAATCGAGTACGTAAAATTTGGACTCAGAATCTCGAGTTTTCCAGATAGTTTTAAGTTTGTTATAGTATGACGGAAAAGTTACTTTTCTGAAAACATCAGAAGCATCGATCATGAAATTCACCAAATATTCATTCACAACATCAAGTTCTCTTTCTTGTGTATCACGCACACGTTTTTTCGGTAGAAAAGACGTAGTAGATTTTTGAACTATCTCTCTTAGTTCCGACGCAACATTTTCACGTACTCCCTCAAAAACTTTCAACACATCACCTTCTACTCTTCTAGCAAACCCTTCTTTCTGGAGATATCTTCGAGCTTTTTCAACATTTTCGAAAAAGATATTTTTTCGATTGGGTCCCTTTACAAACTTGCTCAACTCTTAGCAGTAATTACAAACTCTGATTGGCGTGATTACTTGTTCTGATATTAATTTAAGACTTGTGATATAAGCCGTGAATGTGTCGTTCAGTTTATTAAGAAGATCCAGTACAGAATACAAAAATTCAGGTATTTCATCGTAACGTTTTACTGGAAGATCAATAAAATGAGTTGCGATTTCTTTAGGAAGATTTTCATCGAAAGGAAGGCACCAATCTGCTAACCCTGGAGGATATGAAAGTTGTGGCATTCTTCGTTTATAGTAAAGGGTAAATTATTTCTTTGGTTAATTGGTCTGAAGGATTATTTACGTTCTAGCCCGCTATAAAATCTTGCGATCCTGACATGCAAAAGTATCGATCTTGATGCTATACGACCAGTCTTTACCTTAATTCTGTTATCACATGATTTTTGCTTGTAAACGCGTTTCGTTAAATATCATGTGACATAGATTTTTGCTTATCTTATTGCTTCTGATACTCAGCTAAAATCAGGAGCGGAATGACCTGCTCTTAACACTGGCCTAGCTCTCACAAGTGTAGCGGAATGACTTGCTTCATAAATACTTGTAAATGAGGTTGATGGTGGAATTACCTGCCGAGTCTATGCATGATTTACTCTTCTTTTTGGGGCTGGACACAAAACTAACAAGCCGTGCTCTAATCTGTATGACTAGTATGACTTAGGTAATATTTTTTTATACTTTATTTTCAATAATATAGCGGTTATTTCAAAGTGAGAAACATCTCGAGTCCTAACCCATAAAATGATATTTCCTTCCTGCTATATCCAATTCTATTTTTTTGAGAACGCCTATTCACATCATACTGCAATATGAAGTACAAATATTTCCGACGAGACATCAGCAATTTTAAAAGATACGAACATTTTTTTTTGGTTGTGCTGACTGATTGTGTACTTGCAGTTCTGAGCTTACAAGCTAATAGATAATTTTTCATTTAGGATTTCAAGGAAACATATTAACATTACAGAAGGCAAAAAACATAAATCATCGGCGGGTTTACTAAGATCAATACTGTTAATTTATTTCTGACTCTGCAAGTTCCATGCATAACTGACGACCATTTTATTCTATCCAGAATATCGATGTTGAGGACAAATTAATGTTGGGATATTATGTTAGTATAGATAGTTTAGATGAACGAAACACTGGTGTGGGTCTGTAGGGATTAGTATAGAAACATTTCATTTTGTAAAACGAAATTACAGCATGTACCTTTTTGCGTGTATTAATAAAACATTTTTTTCTCGACAAAAGTGATCTGCGTTCCAAATTGGAACGGACACAATGACTTTTTTATTTTGAATACTTGTATAAAAAGTGTTATCAAAAATGGAATCTGAGATTGACTTACTTAGGCAAGAAAATGCTAGACTTGTGGCCAAGAATTATGAGCTCGAGGCTGAGATCGTAAAGCTGAGTCAGATTATTGAGGAGAATGCCAGGCGCGATGTAAGGGTCAAAGAACTAGAGCAAAAAAATACAGAGCTTAAGGCCAGACTTGCGTTATTAGAACAGGCTTCCTTGATAGTGAATAGACAGCCACAGAATGATAATAAAATGATATCAGAGGGGTTACCAGAGGTATCCGTACCAGCTGTTGATGTATCCAAATTTGTAGTAGACCAGCAAAATAATGTTGATACTAAGTCAACGGAGGATAAGATAATAGATGATTGTTTGCTTAAGCAAATACCGATGTCAGAGGTATTATCAGAGATAATTGATATACATGATATTTGCTAGAAGTAAACCCAGCTTGAGTAGTATAAGCCTGATAGCAAAACAAATAATACAGTACCAGAGGTAAGTGTGTCTACTAGCTCTCCATTTTGTGAAGAGAATAAGGAGACCGATGAATTCTTAAACGCAGTGTATAAGAAGAAGGTTGGCAATGAGATTAGGTAAAGGAAGCGGGAAAAGAAATTTCAAGATAATTTGTCACCAGAAGTAACTTCTCAGAGAGAACCAGATTCAGAAACACTCGTAACTTCTTTAGATTCTGCCATTCTATTAAATGAAAAAATGGACAGGGTTTTTCTTTTCCTCAATCAGAGATTTTGCGAGATAAAAAGAATACTCGGGTTTCAGAAAATTCTAATAACAGTCTATCATCTAAACCATGTAATGCTTCTTCTAGCTTCGAATGTGATGAGAAGGTGGGAAAAATTCTCTATAATCTGAAAGTAGAACAAGACTTGAGAGACGAGTTATCTACTTATATGGAAGGCAAGGGATCCCTTCACAGAGTGAAAATAAAATATTTGATATACAGATTCCCGAATTCTCCTTAGAAGCAATTTTGATAGGATCTAATAAAGTTACATCACAAGTAATAGTTGATCTATTTAATATAGCAATGAAAGCCAGACAAAAGGAGATCTTATGCTGGTATTATTACTATAAGGCATATAAGAATTGAGTTAGAGATGTTAAGTTTAAGAATAGTATTAATGACAAATTAGCAAGAACATTGGTGTATAGCGAAATCAAACCCCTTCTTCCTGACATTACTGATGTAAACTTGTGTAAAATAACTTTCAGAGCTAAAAAAATCTATATATTGTTTGATGGGATAGGAATAAATAGAATCCAAATAATTAGCTGTAACGCAAGTGCTATCTCAAATTTATCTGATAATTAGATCCAGGACATTATAAATGATTTTCCTACCAATACAGATGATGTAAATTATGATGACTCCGTTTCAAATTGGAACAGACACGTAACTTTGAAAATTAATAAAACTGATGCTGCACTTCAGCCAACCTATGACTGCGCCTATTTTCACAACAAAGCATTGTATCAATATCCTAATTTATATAAAGAATTTAGTAGTGAAAATGTTGATTATTATGGAATTACTGACGAGACTTCATGTCCATTATGCAAGTTAGATCATGATGATGAGGAAAGTATAGAAGGTAGATATGAAGCCAGATCCTATTTTATTAAATGTGAACAGCATGAAATTGAGATAGTTGCATAGTCTCATTGCCCTTTCTTATATCATAGATACTTCGAAAGATGATCTAATTATTTTTTTGGAAATATGATAAGAAATAGTAGACAGCTTTCTATTCAGGAATTTAAATTGATCTGTAATTATATAAAAAGACAATATGAGCAAGTTCGATAAAGTATTAACCCCAAGTATCTGGATTGGCTTACCAAATTAACTGGTTTACCATGCGTTTTGACAGATAAGATTTGTTTCAATTTATACAAAAAATATAAAAAGAAACTGGGTATGAGCCATGGCAATTATTAGAAACACATGCATCAGAAGCCAACCTTCTCGTAAATTTGAAGTCAGAAAATAAAGCATTCTATTTATCTTTTCCTGAGCAATGTGAAGAAAATGGACCCACCACTTTCGAAACCAAACCTGATCTAGAATTAATTATCAAGTCTGTCTTAGAATATTTTACATACCTGAAATTCTAAAATAGTTTTAGAGGGATTGATAATTATAATTTTGCATCACCTCAACTGTGAAGCTCACCATGTCCTATTTGCGATGGAAAACATAGGAATTATGGATTACATGGTGAATGGTATGGAACAGAATATTATCTTAGTTGTAACTCTTCAAGCAATAAATTTAAGTTCGCAATCGTAGCTATATGATAGTATTGTTGCACTAGATATTATTCCGCAGTATGAACAAAAATATGTATTTTTTATTTACAATCAATAAAGTTAAGACACATTAAGCGCAATATATTTACATGTTAATATCTAGTATATGTTGAGAAGAGTGTAGGATATGTTTGTATGCTAATATTTCTTAATCAGTTTTTCATCTGTGAATCGATACTTAATTAAAGCGCAGTATCATTTAAAAAAAGTCACCATGTATGACGAGAACAAGTCATTACCACTATATCATTTATTTTCAAAACTTCCCGCATATACTCAAGCTTTTATATGTATTAATAATAAAAAAGATCTCCTTATTAATCCAAGAACACAATCCCAGTATCTATTATAATTTTAAGGAGTATCTGTTGATTTAATTTCGTGATGAATCATAATAACATAATTTTCTTAAAGATTTATTCCAAAAATTGATCCTTAAATACACTACAAATCTTATAAAAAGGTGAAGCTTTATTTAGTGAATCCTTTTATCCGCCTTATGCAAGTAAAGCAAAAAAGGATCAAAACAAATATTCAAACTTATTATTATTAACCTCAACAATATCAATAATCAATCAAACTGCGAAGTAATAGCAAAATTAGTTTGTTTGATTTCTTGGCTTGATTCTAAAAAATCGCCATCACAATGCTAAGCATTTTTTTCAGCTCTATAGATGCTCAAAAATAAAGCGAACATATTATCTTTCTTGATTCTTTCTGTTTATTTGATATTTGCTGAGAAAATTGTGATCATTGTCATGTACCTAATCAGCGTAGTATTAATTTCTGTCACCAGATTTTTGTCACATGCTGAGATACAGTGCGCAATATATTGAATAAAATTTTTTGGCAATAGATACTGAATTATTGACATTTGGCGCAGTATTGAACTGACGATAAAAAAATCAAAATTTCTTTATTACAATATATTAAGCTATAAATATGAGACGGTGTAAAATATTATAAAAATGAAGTGTACCAGTAATTGTGAAATCAGATACCTCATTTTTTTTATCTTGTTGTTAATCTTCAAGATTCTTCATATAGTTTCGAAATTATTTCATTTCTGGGAAATTCACTTATCTTTCTATATAATTTATGTGAATAGGAGTGAAGATAGATGAAAATTATGTAGATATGTGTGGAAAAATTTATTTCAAAAATCTAGTGTAGAAAAAGAGTATAGGGAGAAGAATATTAGAAATGTTAGCAATAGAAACAAATTAGTTATAGATATTTTTTGTAAATATAAGAGAGCAAAGAAATAACTTGATGCTGAGACTCGCATTAAATGGCCTAGGATTTGTGTACTCTCTCCTTCTTTGATAGCATCATATATTTCACTTGTTTCTCTAACATTTTCTAATTCTAAAAAATCATTAATAAAGTATTCTACTTTGCGCATTTACGTAGAGAAGAATTATGCACTAGTGATCAATATTCACTAAATCATTAATGTGTTATTATGTGATGATTATGTTTTATTAAATCGATCAGCTATATTCTTTTTTTATTATAAATATAACTTGCTTTTCAGCTCATGTCGAATAAAATATACAAGTACTTTGATCGTAAGTCCTCTGAATAGTCCATTTAAGGATTTTTGGATGAATGCGAATTAGAATCACTAAAAAAAAAAATTGACTGTTATGTAAAGTGTCTTGAGATGATTGTGAAAAGTTGGAAAGGAAAAAGGAGTGAAATAGCACAAAAGCTACTTGATAGATATAGAAAGGCGAGTGTTAAGATTTTTTTTTGTTATAAAGTGGGAGAGAATTGATGACGTGGTGAGGACCTATTAGCTTCTTATCATTCAAAACTACTAGTTGAGCCACAAAGCTAGTATTGGAGCACAGGCAACCTACTAGCTTGTCTGATGTTCAAGACTATTAGTCAACCTAATACCAGCCCCATTAGACACAAGCAACCTATTAGCTTGTCTATTGTTTAAGACTATTAGTTGACTCAATGGAATAGAACAGAAAATCTGATAGAACCTAGTGTACTACTTGAATATATTGTTAATTTACAAATCTTTTATTCTAGGGTGGTAAGCCAGATTGCAAAAAAGCAAAAGAATGGGACGAAGAATGCATGCGTGAGCATTGATCAGCCTTTATTTATATTTATAATCTATCATTTGGGATTAGAAATATTAATAGTAGAACTGGAACTATTGAAGGTGGAACTTTCGCTGAATTGGCCATATCAAAGATTCCTTAGAAAAAGGTATATACTTGCATCTTTGTCTAAAATTTTAGAACCAAAAGAACTAATTTTTGCATTTAATGTTTTAGGATAAATATGATGAAAGTGACGAGATAGATGATTTCTTTAACAGTCTCTCTGAAAAAAAATCATCCAATTAGTTTTTTCAAGAAATGGACAACTCAACTAAAAAATGGTGAAAATTAAGCAATGAACAAGGCATTTTCAACAAAACGGACAATGAGAAAGATAAGGTACAATTTCATATTAAAATAGATTATTCAGATATCATGATGTTCTGTTATTCATAGCAATTAAAAGACTGAATAATTGCTAATCAGAGAGATTCTTTTCTAGGTCGAGGCTGAAGCATAAGACTCCACTTCTATATCTGAAGAGAATGATAATTCGTTTACTTCTAAGGATTATAGTGATCCAGATTACATACAATGGTAATTCTTTTGGTTGAAATTTTTTTGATTTTTTTTCTTAGACTTACAACTCACTTCCATTTGTAATACAAGCAATATCGAAGGTTAAAATCCTCAACCATTGTTAATATCATCACAGCTTGAAAATTTTCTGAAATCCTACAAAAAAATGAATGTAACTCATAAATGGATTCTCTCTTTTGAAAAGTGTGTTGAGGACACTTTTTTTAAACATTGTGAGTGACTGCTAGTTGAATCACTTCTATATTCATGGATTATTGATCTTGATGATCGGGAAGTGAAGTTATTATTTACAACTGAAGAATAGAATGAAATCCAGTATGCAGTCAAAAAATTGCCAGAGGTTGATCGTGTCTTTGCAAATTCTATAATATGATTTTCAGATGTAAGTTGAGAATAATTAGCTTTTTTCAATTTTCTAAAACCCGATATATTACCAATTTCAGGTTAATACAATAAGCGATTTGAGACAAGTCTTAAAGATAACATTCTTCCTAAATGAGGATGAACCTTATGATAGGTTAAAACATTATGATGCTGAATGAGCTGAAATCGTGATGAGGAAATTGTGAGAATTTGCCTCTTTATCGGTAATATTATTACAAAGATTTAATGACATATATTCTATTTACTACAAGTCTTACGTATTATGAAGACCTTAATAAAATACTGCAAAAATAATATCTCGAAGCCTGATATGATATAAATGTGTGATCGCTTATCATCGATCATGATTTCAGTGATATGATTGGAATGGAAACTGTAAGGTGTGGTCTCCTTGATTATCATAATTATTTAGTTACATTTTTTAACTTTATGGCTTATTTTTTCACAGAAAAAAATCATTAAGTATAGTGGTAGTCACGAGGAAAAACAGAAAGAGAGTATGTACACATTGCAAAAAATCAGGACGTAGAAGAATAGGTTATCGAATGGACGGAATATTTCAGATATACATTGGTGACGTTGAGTATGGAGTAATTGAAGTGGGCAAGAAGTTTGATAAAACAAAACTATTGACTAACAGGTTTAAACTGGTGAAGACTATGCACAATATCTTCGTATGCCTAAGTAAAGAAGCCTATTTCGAAGAAATGAAAGTAAGGCAACTTCAAGTCGCTGGTATGCTTCACATGGATAAGTAAATAAATGAATCTACAGTTTTTAATATTTTGTCAAAATAACTGATTTAATTTGAATAGGTCTTAAATTGCAAGTCTTACAAATGAGTAGTCCCAAAGGGTATGTGACAATATTAAAATGAGAGAAACTCCTTGATGTGTTGGCTACAGTTGAAAGAATAAAGGATCTTATCAGGGTGTTGGCTAATGTGTGGAAAATGAAGGTATGATTTATTTTCTGTACTTGTCAGCTTCATCATAGAAATCACTATTACTCATTATCTTCTATTTACAATAGAAAATGATCATAGAGTGCATGAAGACAGTGAATACAAGAACCCAAGATAAAGCAGATTTTTTGCGAGAAATAATGGGCACAGATACTCCACTAATTACAATTGTTGTTCCATGGTCTATTGATACGAAATGACAAAATTATAATGAAATCGATTAAAAAAATAGATAATATTTTTGCCATCACAGGAAATTCTTTCTTCAACGAAAATATCATGCTTGCCATGCTTTTTTGAGGTTCTCTTCTTGCTCTATTTAATTTTGCTTGGAAAATGTTTAGGATCAATTCATTAGTAATTTTGGGATTCTTGCTGATAATAAAACTTTACTGCACTATTATGACGTTACAAATTACATACTATAATAAAATTTGAATTTTTTCTTGGCAAAAGTGATCTGTGTTCTAAATTGGAATAGAAGGTGTATGTGTTTTTATTATTTTATTTAGTGGCTTAGACCTGAAAAATATATAGTGACGATATGTCTAATTCTCTTGTTAATGATAAAATTCGTGAGTATTAAGTCTTTTTTGCATCAACTATTTTGAGGTTGAGCGTAAAGGATATTGACTATGTAATAGCTAAAGTTTTAAAAGCAGGTCAGTGAAATTTACTGCACATTTTTTACTCAAGTGTAAACATATATTCACAGCTACCGAAGTTTTTTCAGATTTAAAATAAGCCAAATTTACTCATGTGTGATCACCTATTCACACTTGCCAAAGTTTTTCCATTTTAATATTTTCTAAACATGTGTGGTTATTGTTTTATAGTAAAATAATGAAAAAATAATAAAGTTTATGGGACAAGTTATTTTTAACCAATGTATGTTGTATATAGGTGGTATGACGTTACTTTATTGCAAGACTCACCAGAAATATGCACAAAAAAAATGCTAATCCTCCTGGATATATTATACATCATATGAAGCATCTGAGTAATTCCTGTTAATTACGAGAGATCCACATAACCTGTATTAGATCATCTTATACTCTGAATTTCTGGCGATCATATCTCTGATTAGCTATTACATGCGGTACATAGCCAGATGTGAATCTTATATAAACCCTCAATATACTTATAATCGAATAAAAAAATGAATCTGATATTTTATTATAATATACTTGCTGCAAATTGTTATAACAAGAAATATTCGCTAAAAACGCTATAAATCACTAAATTGCTAATAAATATGCCTGATGACATGGTTAAAATCATTATAGATAGGATTTATAATAAAATTGTACCTAAATCTATCAATCTCCGCCCTGGATATGATATGGAATATGTTTTTAACTGTCATTCTCAAACTGATAACTATCGATACGAAAAAGTGGTTAAAGTAGAAAAGCAATACGATTATTTGTCTATTATTAGACCTTATGAAATATCTTAGCAATAGGTTAATCGTGTAAGAGGTTCTCTGCAAGAATTACTTTTTAAGCGAGAATATAGTTTATATCATGTATACAGCCTTTTTGCTTTATTCGGGCAAGTAGAATCCAAAACATATTGTGTTAATAGTAAGTTATATGAAGACTACTTTGGATATCGTAGACCTAGTATCTATAAAAGTCAGATGGCTATCTGTTTCAAATGCTAGAAATTGGTAAAGATTACTGAAGTAAAGTCTAGAAAAGTATATTATGATGGATGACGCAGATGGGCCTATGAAATTGAGTCTGAAGATTTGATGAAGAATCATTGGGATTGCTCTTGCTTTAAGGCTAAGATTACAACTATAGCAGAAAATACTATATCACATATCTCTGAGCCAACTTACATTTCACTAACTACTTTTCAGTCATCGAATTGCAAAAGTGATACAGGTGGAATATTTATCTCGTTTCTATATGCGAAACAAAATAACTTACTATATTTCTTGTCCTGAGCGCCTTTGGCTGGGACCCTACTATCTATAAACCATCTTAATCAGCCTACATTAAGATTGAAAGATGAGACAAAAATCACGTTCATTTAATATTTCTTTTTTTATGCTATATAATTTGCATGCATGATCGCCTAGTATAATGTAAAATGTATCACCAATGCAGGATAAAAAACTTGATTTGCCTATTCTGGATTAGATCCTTAGCAATATACTGTATAACTATTTTAATAAAATATTTTTTGAGGAAGATCCCGAATATTATATTATTCAGCCATGCGAAGCGTCTCAAGGCTAATGCATAAAGGCATATGTGACATGAATTAGAACATTTTCGATTCTCGTTAAAATATATATAATGTAATGTTGAAATCTTCAATGCATATTCCACATACCCTTATTCTCAAAAAAATTGGCGTAAAGTGCTTTGCATATTTCTCCTATCTCTTTCCCAAACATGAAGAGAATGAGAAATGGTGGCATTTAAAAGGGCAGTATGGAAAATTTATGTTCAGATCGCTTATTCTATATTAACAACACTATGTCTTCTAAACTATACTCGAAAATTTACAATTTTTTAGTAACTGCTAAGCAAGAACACATTACTGCCACCTCGGTCATTTATCAGGATGTAGAAGATCCCTGGATTTCACAAAATGAATTAAGAAGCATTGTAGACCAAGCCATAGAGTTTGCTAGTAATCTTTATGCTGAAGAACCTTTGCGTCAATTAAAACTTCTTCGAATACTTTCTCAGGTTAGTTGTAAAGCTTTACTAATATTTTTTTCCACTAAATGATGATATTATGTGATCCACTCGCACAAACGAGATCTGAAATGATAGTGTATTCATCCTATTAGACTGCATCTAAAGGAACTATTTCTTGAACTGCATGGAGGATATATAAACTATTGCTTGTGTTTTAATCATTCTATTAGCTCTACCCCAAGAATATTTCTCGATGCATGAGGGGTGATTAATCTGTAAGATATTATGTAGTTATTTAGTATCACACAAGGTTTCATCAACGTGATGGCCATACTAAGATAATAACTTTGTATATGTACTGATAATGCATGCGTTTTTTAATGATAAAATTATTATATTACTGAAACTAATGCATCATCTAATTATATTAGTTTGAGATTGCTTTTGAAGGAGTCTGCAGTTTGCGTGATATAGGAGTAGTTAGAATGAATAAAGAAAGACCTCTTAACTCTGATGAGATTGAAAAAAATATAAATGAATTGAAAGGCAAACTCAAGAAAAATACAACGACACTGATTAACCAGCATCTATACTATGGTATAAATAGTGTGAATATTTCTGAATTATCATGGATGGATTCTCTAGCTAGTCAAGTAATTTCTGATGAGTCAAAAGTTGTAAAGAAATTGCAGGTCAATTTAGACACACTTTTATGAAGCCAGTACGACAAATGGTACCTTTATCTCTTCCATTTGCAGTGAAAAGAAAATGTAATAAATTCGTTGCTAATTTCATTGAAAATCGTGAAATTGATCTTCCAAGAAAATTTATACATAATGGGACATGTAAAAAAACAGAAAATGAGCTTGCATTAATCACGGAGAGAATTTTGGATACATTGTAAGTATTTTTTTATGATATTTTAAAATATTTAGTGATTTTCTGCTCCCCGCTCATTTTTATTTATATTAGATGTGATTCTTGAAATAATTTCGCATTTGAAACGAATTTTGTAGAATCCTTAAATGAAGATACTTACATGACCAATGTGATAGTACCAGCCATTCAGCCAACATTGAAGAATCTTCCTCTAGGAAAAACCACATTCATTAGCAGTTCTGAACGTCAAAGTAGTGTCAGTGCGGATAGGAAAGGTGATAGATGAACTGGGAGACAGCCAGATGTTATGTTTGTAATGAAACATAATGGAAAAATTACGAACTTTTATTTACTGAATGCTCACGTTTATCATGTATAGCGCAAAAGGAAAGAGATGATCAAATGAAGCTGTAGCATAAGGTCAATGATAGAATATACTGGACTCGTAAAAGTTGCAAACCTGATAAGGACAAATTTGGGATTATTGGGATGCAGATAGCTGAAAAGAAATTATATTTAAGTGTTCTTATAAGGGATATGAGCGAGGTCTATTGATATTATCATCTTTATAAATCAGAAATTCCAGTTCAGCTGTCAGATCTGTCTATTGTAGAAAAATTCATAGAATCATTACTGATATTGTGAAATATTCTAATTATTAATATAAGTATACTCTACAATGCACCTTTAAAAAGATCAAATCAGAATGTAGAAAAAAGTTCTACAGTTTCTTCATCTAAGCGAGATAACTAGATTTTTTTTGTATTTTCACAGACTATTTTAATAAAATTTTCTTGACAAATTTAACTGGAACACCCCTGTCAAAATCATATGATTTTTTTTATTTTTAAATGTTAACATACGAATACTACATTATGCAAGCATGTAATCTGAAATAGATAGTTCTGGTGAGACTGATTCGTATTAGCTTACACCCCTTTCTTGTTCAAGAACTGTAGGAGATTATCCTGAAATCTGTGATTGAGAAAGGCTTCTGCAGGAGAAAGCCTAACTTCTTTTTTCGAATCTAGTAAGAAAAAAGGGGCAGAATATTGATTACTTTTTTTCTTAAATTCCACCATTTTTTGATCATAAACTATATGATCGCAATCAGTAGTAAAACAGGTATAGAATATATTACCATCTGCATCAATAGAGAACTTGTAACAATAGGAACAGTCGCTAATGTTAGAGACATTTCTTAGGATAATAGTACTGCTTCTGCACTACCTGCAGAAAATATTTGGAAAGGTGAAGGATTAAGAGTGGAAAGAATTCCTTCAGGACCATGTTGTGATGAATCATTCATAAGCGGAGATAGAGGATCTACTTCATTATGCAAAACACCTCTTGACTCTTTCCTTAACACTAACTGATCTCTAAGGGACTTATTTTCCTCCATTAATTTTAATCGTTCTGAAGACCAAATATTCAGCTCCCATTTGTATATGTTATCTGATGACTCTATCCCTTTTTCCATACATTCTATTGTATATTTTTTTGAACTAAGGTCCTCATTCGTTCGTTCTAATTCAAGCTTGAGAGAATCATGAAATGCTTGTTCTAGTTCTAAGTCATCTAACTTACCTTCTAATTCTCGTATTTTAGCTTCAAGAGAAAGAATCTGGACCTTGTCAGTGGATGAAGCTTTTGGGGTCAAA